TTATGAACAAATCCACTAGGGCCGTGATGAGGATTCGAACCTGCGTCCGAGAGCATCCCAGACGCTACCTTAATCGACTGAGCTACGACATGGTCAAAAAGAGTTGATACTGAAGTTCTACTGAATTTACTGGATCCTGCAGCCTCTCCGAGGCACAAACCAGGGTTTTACACAGCTCGAGTGCATGGGGGGGTGGGAGTTGTCAGCAGGCCGTTCTCCCTCTTCGCCCTTACTTCATTACACACAGACATCCCAATTGCGTGATGCATCAAATGAACAAATCCACAAAGGCAGTGACGAGGATTCGATCCTGCATCCAAGAGCATCCCAGACACTGCCTTAATCGACTGAGCTACGACATGGTCAAAAGGAGTTGAAACCGAAGTTCTACTGAACTTACTGGATCCTGCAGCCTCTCCGAGGCACAAACCAGGGTTTGACACAACTTCCCCCATGCACTCGAGCTATGTCAACAGGCCGTTTTCCCTCTTCGCCCTTACTTCGAAGTTGTGTAAAACCCTGGTTTGTGCCTCAGAGAGGCTGCAGGATCCAGTAAGTTCAGTAGAACTTCGGTTTCAACTCCTTTTGACCATGTCGTAGCTCAGTCGATTAAGGCAGTGTCTGGGATGCTCTTGGATGCAGGATCGAATCCTCGTCACTGCCTTTGTGGATTTGTTCATTTGATGCATCGCGCAATTGGGATGTCTGTGTGTAATGAAGTAAGGGCGAAGAGGGAGAACGGCCTGCTGACAACTCCCACCCCCCCATGCACTCGAGCTGTGTAAAACCCTGGTTTGTGCCTCGGAGAGGCTGCAGGATCCAGTAAATTCAGTAGAACTTCAGTATCAACTCTTTTTGACCATGTCGTAGCTCAGTCGATTAAGGTAGCGTCTGGGATGCTCTCGGACGCAGGTTCGAATGTTCATCACGGCCCTTGTGGATTTGTTCATTTGATGCATCACGCAATTGTGATTTCTGTGTGTAGACAATCTTACCCTTTGCTGTCTAGTGAGGATTCGCCTCTCCTTCAAGGGCGGCTTCAACTTGCGATTGATGCCGTGCCGTCTTGGGCCACTGATCATGGCTTCAAGTTTTCTGCGTCTAAGACTAGTGCCATGACTTTTACTTGGAAGCGTGTCATTTTTCGTCTCTCTTTGTCACTTTATAGACATCCCCCTGTGTACAAGGATTCCGCTAAGCTTCTGGGGTTAAACTTTGACAATCGTTTGTCTTGATCAGCCCATATCTCTTACCTCTGCGCCTCTTCACCACCTCCCTCTTTCTGTCATGCTATCTCGCTTACAGGACTCTTTCTATTCGTCTTTCTCTTATTTCTCCTCGTATTGTTCCTTCCTTGCCACCGTGGAGGGTCCCCCTTCCGAAGTTTTGTACATCCTTGACCCGCATTACAAAAGCTTTTCCTCCTAGCATCTTCACAGCAGAACTTTATGTTATTCTCCAAGCTCTCCGTCTCCTGCTTTCTCGTTGTCAATCCTCCTTTGTAATTGTAGTTGATTCTGGTAGTACCCTCATGGGTCTCGTGTCCTTTAATCCTGTCCATCTGGTAGTCGTCGAGATTCAACATTGGCTGTTACTTATCTCTAGTAAATTTAAATCCGTGGAGTTTTGCTGAGTTCCCAGCCATATAGGTATTTCTTTAAATGAGCATGTGGATGCTGTCACTAGAGAGGCTATCCGGTTTTGTCCCGTTTCCAGTAACGATATTCCTTTTTCCGACTTTTATCCGGTTATTCATTCCTCCGTCCTTGCCCATTGGCAGGGTTGTTGGTCTTCTGTTGTTGGTAACAAACAGCGTACTCCTAAGCGTTGTGTATCCCCGTGGCCTTCCTCCTGCCACCATAACCGGCGGTGGGAGACGGCTCTAGCGCAGTTGCATCTTGGCCATATTCACTTAACTCATGGTCACTTAATGGAGCGCCGCCCAGTTCCTTATTGTCCAAATTGCATTGTTCCTCTTGCTGTCGTGCATATCCTTATTGAATGTCCTGACTTCCAGGACGAGTGTGCCTTGATTTCCGACCGCCTCTCACGGTCACTTGTCACTCGATATAATTTTTGGTGAATCGGATACTTTTGATATCGTTCGCCTTGTGCGTTTTTGTTCTCGTATTGGCATCCTTGGTGATATTTAGCGCCCTCTGATTATTCCGCACATTTGGTGGTGCTACATAGCCTTCCCGGTTTGGTGCCTTCTTTGATAATTAATTCCTTACAGTTCATTCAATTAAATAAAAAAAATTAAACAATTGCCTGCTGGAAAAATCCCCCCACAGACGCCTTCACCATCAACGGAACTTGCCTCGGCAGCTGCACAGCTTGCAACACCTGCTGCTAGCCCTCCATCTGATCCAGTAGATGAAGACGACTCTCCAGCCGACAATGCCCTACCTTTTCCACGAGGATTACTCCCGATGTTCTACGAACCACGAAAACACCCACTGAACCTTCTTCATCTGTAGTTATATTTACCACTCGGTAACCTTTACGACCAGATACTACTCAACTTCGGGAACACCGCCTAGGCTGTTGATTCGTCAGACGAGAATACCTCAGTTGGAACACCATCCCCTCCACAGAGGAAGTTTTACTAAAGACCGGATGATTTCCTATTGGACACCATACCAACAACCTCGAACGACAAGTTCTCGTTCGTTGCGTTAACAGCGCAGCAATGTCAACTAGGAATAAGACCACCGTGACCTCCGTGAAATCCATGAAAACGGGTATCTTCTTGAAGTTATCTCGAGATGATTTCGGAGAAACATTCTATGAAATGAAGGAAGAACTTTCCTTGTAGGAGAAGGAAAAATATAAAAGGAGAAGAAGGGTATGAATGAAGAAACGCCAACGACTTCTATCAACTACCAGCATTTCTCAAGCACAAGAACAACAAAAAGTTCACCACACTACACGAGAAGACGCCTCCTACACCTGCATGAAGACCAGCCGTCACAAGTCCCTTGCCACGGAAGACCTCAAGAACGACAAGTCCACTCCAAGATCAATACTTGATGCAAACCCATGGTGGTTAGGCCACCGAACTTTCAGCCTCCTCCTTCACCATCCAAATTCTCTTCTGGATTTTCATCTCCTCGTCCTTCGTCCTCCCCCAACCTTGCCAAGCTTTTTGGACATCGAACTTCAGCCATAGGCCAGCCCTCACCTGGCTGCCTTGGGCTCAAAACACTGGCTTCCCCCAAACTGCTGCCCATCCTGGGCCGAGCCTCAAACAATTGCCCAGAGCTTTAACTCTCAGCCCCCAAATTCTGCTACAATAACTACAAGCGGGTTCTCCATTAACCCCCTGGGACTTTTGGTTCCTCAACTGTTGCTGTATAAATAAGTCTCACAATAATGGGCCAACTAATTGTTGCACAGGGACGTCTACTCTGGTCCCTCCACTCCCTCAATGTTCCATTAAAGAGGCTGCAGGCGCTCCCTTACCTACAGGGTACTTATAGACCGAACTGTAGGTGTATGTATAGCTCCTGGGTCTGCCTGCTTGCTGGTGGTGTACACTTCTGGCGACTGGCGAGTCGTTAGATTTCCACATTTTGAGAATCTACGTCTTGACTTTATTTCTTACCAGAGTTCTCTTCATTGTGGAAAAAATCGGGGCTGCATCTGTCAGCTCCACAGAAACCAAAGTACCATCTTCTTGGTGCATTAGTTCAGCACCTTCCGAGGTCCGCCTATACTCTTGAAGCATGATCGTCCTTCCTGACGACAACGACTTCTTACATGACGTCCAACTCACGGTCATTACAACTTGCTTCTTCTCGCTGCTTTGTGTTGCATCGCCCCGAGACCGCCTGCAATAAGGTTAGCTCCTGGGCTTACACTCACTACTGGATTCTGCCCTTATCTTCATTAGTGTTAGTCCTGCTCATAAGCGTCGGTTGACGATATCTGTCCAGCAATAATGGAGCAACAGGTGGCAGTCGTCTGACCTCCTTTACTTTCTAGCATAAAGTGACCTGTCTCAGCCAGTCTTTAAGCTTTCCCTGCATGACGTCATCGTCCTGCTTCACACTTATTGATCCTCAGAGATAACACCGAATCAGATACCATGGCAATTAGAGCCTCTACCTCCTATAATCTCTTGGGCCGCCGTCTTTATGGCAAAGCGCCCTCGCTTCCTAGAGGCCTCCTCACCACATAATTACCTTTTTAACACCGCAAAACACATTCACACTTAACCTACCTAATGTCATCTTAATAAAGCACACAGGAATGAATGTATAAACACAAAAATGATGTATGTCAGACTGGAACAACTCTCATATAGGAGGTAGCCTAGGCTAGCCTATTAACGCCATGACACTATGCTCTTATGTTCTTAATTATTGTCTCCTCACATATAATCAATGCTAACAGTTTATCAGAGATTATGTACTTGACACTGTCAAATTTCTTAAAAGTGGATGTAATTAATATGAGTTTATATAGCTCAATTAGATGAGTATCAGGAGTGAGCAGTGGTAAGTGACACTAGAAATGTTATGACCAACGAAGTGGGAAGTTAAATCAGAGATGAGGGAATTGGCAACTTTGGGATTACCTTCCTCAGGTTTAAAGAGGCAGATTAATAGTTCACAGCTGAATTTACACAGCAAGTTGAAGATTAGGACAAAAGTGTGTGCTTCTTAACTCCCTTATTCTCTGGACATTATTTCCAGAAGTGGTGATGAAAGGCAAATATAATTCTGCATTATAGGTCATGCATTTACATTTTCCTAAAGTCAAAGGCAATCAAACAGCACCTCAAGATAAAGGAATTCCATGTTGCTAACCCTGGAAATGGGACCTGCAGCAACGAGCACTTGCAAACCTTTCATAAAGTTCCACTGCAGCATCTCTGTTACACATGCAAGTTACCCAACTGGTAAAAGACACACATTTATTATTCGGAGAAGGTTGAATACAAGCAAGATGTAAATTCAGCCTAGTCCTATTCCTCTATGCCTCACTGCACTCACCTCTCTACTCACCATACCCACCATGCCAGACCAGGACCCATCTCTCTGCTTCGAGCCAAACGTTCCATCAGCTGGAATTACATACTTATGCCTGCAGATGAAACGAACCAGTATTCGTTAATAATATATATATATATATATATATATATATATATATATATATATATTATATATATATATATATATATATATATATATATATATATATATATATATATATATTAATATATGTAAATATTATATATAAGTTGTGAGGGTACCACCTCTGGTGTGCAAGTGTTGGGACCCATAGCCTCAGAGAAGAAAAGAGAAAAAGAGTATTCAGAGAAGATCTTGTTCTTGAAGATCACCCCCATTCTTTTGTATATATATATATATATATATATATATATATATATATATATATATATATATATATATATATATATATATATATATATATATATATATATATATATATATGTTATTAAATATGACCGAAAAAGTAAGATTAATAATTCTCACACGAATTTTCTCAATCTTTCGTACATTTCGCTTCACTGTTGGAGGTAAATCAAAAATCAATTCTCCAAAATTCATTTTTATTTCTAGTCTGACGCGACACGAGCGCGTTTCGTAAAACTTATTACATTTTCAAAGACTTTAGTTCACAAATACACAACTGAATAGAACTTACCCATCTCCGATTTTATATCTACATTTGAGTGAGGTGGAAGGGGTGATGTGGCATTAACACAAGACAGAACAAAATGTGGTATTAATAGGGTATTAATTTCATCAACACAAGACAGAACAGGAGTATTAATAGGGTATTAATTTCATCAACACAAGACAGAACACGAAACAATGTATATTGAATAGAAGTGTTTGTAGAAAGCCTATTGGTCCATATTTCTTGATGCTTCCATATTGGAGCGGAGTCTTGAGGTGGGTAGAATATAGTTGTGCAATAATTGGCTGGTTAACCAGAAAAACGGCCAGCCTACTCATGAGAAACTCTCCAGACACAAAACAGAACGCTTTAAAAGAGACTAACGTCGTCTATGCCTTCAAATGCCCTCTTGGGGACTGTAAGCTCCAAAAAACCAAGTATATAGGCAAGACAACAACATCTCTTTCTAGGCGTTTAACGATGCATAAGCAACAGGGCTCCATTAAGGAACATATAATCTCTTCCCACAACCAAACCATCGCCAGAGAAATCCTAGTAAACAACACAGAAATCATCGATAGATACAGCGATAGCAGGCGGCTTGACGTTTGCGAGGCACTACACATCAAGAAGTCAACACCAACAATCAACAGCCAATTATTGCACAACTATATTCTACCCACCTCAAGACTCCGCTCCAATACAGAAGCATCAAGAAATATGGACCAATAGGCTTTCTACAAACACTTCTATTCAATATACATTGTTTCGTGTTCTGTCTTGTGTTGATGAAATTAATACCCTATTAATACTCTTGTTCTGTCTTGTGTTGATGAAATTAATACCCTATTAATACCACATCTTGTTCTGTCTTGTGTTAATGCCACATCACCCCTCCCACCTCACTCAAATGTAGATATAAAATCGGAGATGCGTAAGTTCTATTCAGTTGTGTATTTGTGAACTAAAGTCTTTGAAAATGTAATAAGTTTTACGAAACGCGCTCGTGTCGCGTCAGACTAGAAATAAAAATGAAATTTTGGAGAATTAATTTTTGATTTACCTCCAACAGTGAAACGAAATGTACGAAAGATTGAGAAAATTCGTGTTAGAATTATTAATCTTACTTTTTCGGTCATATTTAATAATATATGTCTACAGGAAAGACTGCTACCAAAATATACTAATATATATATATATATATATATATATATATATATATATATATATATATATATATATATATATATATATATATATGTCGTACCTAGTAGCCAGAACGCACTTCTCAGCCTACTATGCAAGGCCCGATTTGCCTAATAAGCCAAGTTTTCATGAATTAATTGTTTTTCGACTACCTAACCTACCTAACCTAACCTAACCTAACTTTTTCGGCTACCTAACCTAACCTAACCTATAAAGATATGTTAGGTTAGGTTAGGTAGGGTTGGTTAGGTTCGGTCATATATCTACGTTAATTTTAACTCCAATAAAAAAAAATTGACCTCATACATAATGAAATGGGTAGCTTTATTATTTGATAAGAAAAAAATTAGAGAAAATATATTAATTCAGGAAAACTTGGCTTATTAGGCAAATCGGGCCTTGCATAGTAGGCTGAGAAGTGCGTTCTGGCTACTAGGTACGACATATATATATATATATATATATATATATATATATATATATATATATATATATATATATATATATATATATATATATATATATATATATATATATATATATATTATTAAATATGACCGAAAAAGTAAGATTAATAATTCTAACACGAATTTTCTCAATCTTTCGTACATTTCTTTTCACTGTTGGAGGTAAATCAAAAATCAATTCTCCAAAATTCATTTTTATTTCTAGTCTGACGTGACACGAGCGCGTTTCGTAAAACTTATTACATTTTCAAAGACTTTAGTTTACAAATACACAACTGAATAGAACTTACGCATCTCCGATTTTATATCTACATTTGAGTGAGGTGGATGGGGTGAGGTGGCATTAATAGGGTATTATTTTCATCAACACAAGACAGAACAAGAGGTGGTATTAATAGGGTATTAATTTCATCAACACAAGATAGAACAAGAGGTGGCATTAATAGGGTATTAATTTCATCAACACAAGACAGAACACGAAACAATGGGTATTGAATAGAAGTGTTTGTAGAAAGCCTATTGGTCCATATTTCTTGATGCTTCTATATTGGAGCGGAGTCTTGAGGTGGGTAGAATATAAATGTGCATTAATTGGCTGTTGATTGCTGGTGTTGACTTCTTGATGTGTAGTGCCTCGCAAACGTCAAGCCGCCTGCTATCGCTGTATCTATCGATGATTTCTGTGTTGTTTACTAGGATTTCTCTGGCGATGGTTTGGTTGTGGGAAGAGATTATATGTTCCTTAATGGAGCCCTGTTGCTTATGCATCGTTAAACGCCTAGAAAGAGATGTTGTTGTCTTGCCTATATACTTGGTTTTTTGGAGCTTACAGTCCCCAAGAGGGCATTTGAAGGCATAGACGACGTTAGTCTCTTTTAAAGCGTTCTGTTTTGTGTCTGGAGAGTTTCTCATGAGTAGGCTGACCGTTTTTCTGGTTTTATAGTAAATCGTCAGTTGTATCCTCTGATTTTTGTCTGTAGGGATAACGTTTCTATTAACAATATCTTTCAGGATCCTTTCCTCCGTTTTATGAGCTGTGGAAAAGAAGTTCCTGTAAAATAGTTTAATAGGGGATATAGGTGTTGTGTTAGTTGTCTCTTCAGAGGTTGCATGGCGTTTCACTTTCCTTCTTATGGTGTCTTCGACGAAACCATTGGAGAAGCCGTTGTTGACTAGGACCTGCCTTACCCTACAGAGTTCTTCGTCGACTTGCTTCCATTCTGAGCTGTGGCTGAGAGCACGGTCGACATATGCGTTAACAACACTCCTCTTGTACCTGTCTGGGCAGTCGCTGTTGGCATTTAGGCACATTCCTATGTTCGTTTCCTTAGTGTAGACTGCAGTGTGGAAACCTCCGCTCTTTTCCATGACTGTTACATCTAGAAAGGGCAGCTTCCCATCCTTCTCCATCTCGTAAGTGAAACGCAGCACGGAACTCTGCTCAAATGCCTCCTTCAGCTCCTGCAGATGTCTGACATCAGGTACCTGTGTAAAAATGTCGTCAACATACCTTCCCCCCATCCTTTCATCCTCCCACCCATTCCTCACTCCCCCGTCCACTCGTCTCCCAACCATTCATCACTTCCCCATCCCCTCATGCTCCCCATCATTCCTCCTCCCCCCCCTCCACCATTCCTTTGTCCTCCTCACCATCCCCCACTCTACCGACCCCTCGTGCTCCGAACCATTCCCCACTCTACCGTCCACTCGCCCTCCCCATCATCTTCCAGTCTCCCATCCCCTCTTCCTCCCTACCATTTCCCACTCATCTTCCCCCACCATCGTGCACTTCCCTGTCCCCTTGTCCTCCCCACCATTTTCCATTCCCCTGTCCCCTCATCTCCTCCATCCCCAACTGCCCCATCCCCTCGTCCTCCCCACCATTGCCCCCCCTCTCTCCTGTCCCTACGTACTCCCCACCATCCCCCACTTCCATCGTATTGTCCTCCCCACAATTCCTCACTCTTTCGATGCACTCCCAAATGATCTGACGTTCCCATCCGAAATTTGGGAACATCAAATGATCTGATGTTCACGTCACTGAAATATAAGAAAAAGTTAAAAAAACGAAATGAAAAAATAAAAAAATTAACAAATCAACTATGCTCACGAAATGAACGGTATGGTAAACAACACAGCTCAATTCCAACTCAATGTCACACAAAATAATTCAATCATAATGAAAATAAATTGAAATCTATGAAAATACAATTTATCAATGAAATTGGGAACATTTAGTATAGCATTCTCTTACCTGCAACAGATGGCGCTGTTTCTTAAAAAAAGAATGTTTTATACATGTCATAGGTGTGGCATCTATACTTACACTTACAAGAGGGACGGTATGGTAAACAAAACAGCTCATTTCGAAGGCAATGTCACACAAAATAATTAAGTCAAAATTAAAATAAATCGAAATCTATGAAAATTCAATTTATCAATGTAATTGGAAACATTGAAATGGAAACATTGAAATGAAATGCAACAGATGGCGTTGTTTAAAAACACGCATCAGAGATATACAAAGCTATCATGTCATTTCCACCAGGCTCAGAATGGGGGATACACTGGAGTAAGACCTCAGCACCTCAAGGAGATGACAAACCCAGTTCTCGGCGAAGTTGCCAAGACACTACTGTCAGAGGTCACGAAGTTTGTCAACGACAGCCTCTCTAGGTTGATCCAAGATACAATTAAACCCTTCTAATTCGGAGCATCCCTTTGTGCCCTTAAGAAGAAGGGTGGTGGAGTCGGACCCAT